TCATGATCTGATAGAGCCAGTGCTATCCGATAGAGAGGTATAGGGTCTCCTGATACAATCTGTTCAATAACAAATCTAGAGTTTAGTAACTCAAAAAAAAATTACTATAACAAAGAAGCGACTCAATAGGAGATAAATCATAGAATTTAAATATACCGATTTAATAAAATTCCTATTATATGATAGATGAATTTATAGATGATACCAATATCTAGCAAGAATAAGTTTATTTGCGGACAACGTTATAAATTCTTTTTCATACTGCTTTCTTGATATATAGCGTAGCGGCTTTTGTATTGATTGCCGCATGCATTCTTATGTAAAGTGCGAATTCTATAACTACCATATAGTAATTTTAAGTAGCTGTGACGTGGTCGAGTGAAATGAGTAGTCATGCTCACTAAAATGTACAGACATGTGGCGGCGTGGTGGGCCGGGTCATTGGGCTCCCTAAAATACGGTCAAGCGCAGTGAGGGCTGGCTCATACGTCATACTCGTGAACGAGTGTGATTAAAAGAGATCAGTCCCTGCATGGAGTATAAGGACTGGTCTGGTTTAATCACTACGACTGATTTATTCTTAATGTGTATTTAATATTTGACCCTAATAAATTAGTGCTAGTTGGTAGTTTGTATTCATACGTTTCGTTGATTGTCGCTTTCCTAATCCTTGTTAATAAATCTAATTAAAACAATATTTATTTAAAAGAGCAACAAATTTCTTGCTCATTCTTCTGGTGATGAGTCTACATTCCGAATAAGCGGTAAAATAAAAAAAATGTTACTATTCAAAAGTGCTTATATTAAATTTATTTAAATAATATTATTTCTATTTCTGTTTCAACTTCAAAATGACATGACACCATTGTGATAAATTCATGGCGAATTTACCACGATGGGCTAACTGAGCTGACCTCATGCTCATCTGTAGGATGACACCTTCACTGGTGCCCCGCCAGCGTAAACCGTTAGCGCAGGCGGGTGCACCATTCCACTATCATTCAAAAAAAAAAACTACTCCACTACCTGCATTCAACCAACCAACAAAGGCCAACAGCATTAGATAATCCGAAAAAAAAATTTGAATAAATGAGTTTCTGTTCTAACAAAATATACCTATTGGTATTGATAATATATGTTACAAACCGTTTGAAAACGAAGTGCCAATGGCCGTTTTGCGTCAATATTTGTCAATGATGAGACTCCTATATCCGATCCGACGCAAAGATGATGCAGTTATCTCACAAAGGATAATATCCGGGCGGAATGTAAGTCGGAAGAGGACTGCAGTGGTCACCACAGCCTTGAGACTACGGTTTCAATTTTACAATATACCAGCAAGTGAGAATCCACTGGTGACCTATTTGCAGTGCTAGTAAACACTTGGCCATTTCCTTTTGCATTGTACCGCAATCTTACTGGAATTGGAATTAATTTTGATTTAGAATACTCGAATGTTGGATGTTGTTCGAATTGCATTTAATACTAGATTTAAAGACAAACTTTCTGTCCCCAAGTATGGTTTAGAAACAGCCAATAGGTATTTTATGGGAATAGGTATAAAATTTACAATAAAATACCAAAGGATATATTGGAATTACCTTTAAGTAAATTCAAAACATCTGTTAAATCATATTTACTGAGCAAAGCCTATTACTCACTAAACGATTACTTGAATGACGTGCATGGCAATAGTTGTTCATGCACGGGATTTTTATTTAATGTTAGACATAGACACCTATATAAATACCTATACATTGTAAATAAACTGGCTTTTAAAACAAAAGTAATTTAATTGAGTTTCTTGCCAGTTCATCTCAATTGGATCTATGTATATACCGAACTGGACGTTAGGGAAAAAATAAAATTATAATGTAAAAATTTGACGTTCATAAGCGGCTAAAATGGCCTACATGAATAAATATTTTTTTTAATTTGAATTTGAATTTGGATTACTACGATGTATATTAATTATATATTTGTAACTAATCGCTGGTATACGGGACGCAGTGCGCATGAGTTTCTACAAATAAATGACCCTACTGAATATTATAAATATATAAATAGACATAGACGACCTCAGTGGTCTAGCGGTTTAACACACCGTTTTATTTCCGATGGTCGCGGGTTCGATTCCTTGCACGGCACAAACATTTGTATTCCTCAGTATGATTCTTTGTGCCGGTCTGTGTGCTTTCTATGTATAATATGTATGTATTTACGAAAAAATTAGTATTTGTATCACTTTTCTAGTACCCTTAACACAAGCGTTATCTAGCTTATCCTGGATCTAGATGGCGCTATGGGAATTGTCCTGAGATTACTATTTTTATAAAAATGTGAATATTTAAACAAAATTTATAGAGTAGATAGTATTATTATAAATTAGAAACAAATAATTTCTTGTTTTAATATTAATATTGTTTATTTTGATCTCCAGAATACATTTTTTTTTTATCAAAATATCTTAAACTATACTTTTTCTAATATTATATTATAATTACGCATTAGGCAAACCTAATAATCACACATTAACCACGCCCATCAAATTAATTTAATATAAAACAATTTAGAAGAGGAAAATGGAAATACAATTATAAATACTGCTCATTTGGCTTCCATAAAAAGTAATTAATTAATCACTGAAAGAAAACATCGCGAGCGAATATAAAAGTAAGGATAAGTTAAAGATGAATAATATTTACTGATACTAAACGTTGTTTGCCGAGTTATTTCATAGGAATTATTTTTGAAACCGAAATAAATTTATTACAGCACTTACGATTGTTAGGTATTTTTTATGATCTTATACATACAATCCTATAATCTCTAGAATAAAAAATATTTTTTTAAAAAGTGTATAATATGAACGTGGATGGATGGAAAGGGAGGGGACGCGCTAAGAAAAGATGGATGGATTGTGTGAAAGATGATATGAATAAAAGAAGAGTATGCTCAGATATGACGACCGATAGAGAGCAGTGGAAGAGAATGACATACTGCGCCGACCACAAATAATGGGATATAGGCAAGGCAATGATGAAAAAATAATTTATTCAAATTAATTTAAGCACTTTTGAATGGTACAACCATGATTATCATTCTTTTAATCTACCGCTCATTCGGAAAGCTGTCTCATTACAAGCAGAACGAGCAGGAAACTTACGTGTTGCTATTTTAATAATCATTGTAACTTTACATTTCCAGTTTACCGAATTATTTTATACTATATGCTACCCACCCCAGCTTCGCACGGGTGTACATGTAGTATACATATAAATCTTCCTTTTGTATCACATCATCTATTTAAAAAAAGAGCTTCAAAATCCGTTGCGTAGTTTTAAAGATTGAAGCATACATACAGACGGACAGACAGCGACAATGACTTTGTTTCATACTAAGTAATGATACATTCACCCCCACTTTCGAGTATGTCTGTACCCTCTAAGGTTGGCTCATAAAGAATGATAATAGCGTTAAGCCCGCCAATTGTACAATTCAATAAATCATTACATAGTATAAAACAAAGTCATTGTCGCTGTCTGCCCGTCCGTATGTATGCTTCAATCTTTAAAACTACGCAACGGATTTTGAAGTTTTTTTAAATAGATGAAGTGATACAAGAGGAAGATATATATGTATAATACATGTACACCCGTGCGAAGCTGGGTTGAGTAGATAGTATACAATATTATTTTTAAAGTATTATAGTATAAACATAAATCCTATATATAATAGCTAGCGAAGTACCGATAACTCTACGCAGTTTGCAGCGAAGGTGAAGTGGCTAATTTCTGAGGAATACGTCTCAATAGCTTAATTGACGTAACAACTCTGTCCTAATTCTTCACATCCTCGATGGTCCTTGCATTTTGCTTTACAATGTATAGTTATTCTTGTTGAAATAATAAAACAACTTGGTTTATCAACTATAACACTGCAAATTTACCACTATACCAATTTACCACTGCAATAACCACTTTTTAAAAAACATGTCCAAAACTTATTGTTCAGTAGAGAACGTGAAAATCCTCAATTGAACGTCCGTAATGTTTTCCACCTAGTAGTAATAAATATTTATAGCAAGCACTTAGAATGTCAAGATGATACTTTTTAACTGACAGAGAAACACATTTTTATACACATACAGTACGTACATGTGGATGACCTTACGCATTATATTGTAACGTGATTTACTAATTGTACTTATCCTTACCTGTTCATTATCTTTGGTTCTGACCTGTTTAAATGTTTAAATGTGTAACTGTATTGTTTTTAAATAACCAATTTAAATATAACTTTAATATTAAAGATAAATTCATGAGGTATCTGGAGGCTTTACTAACTATGTAATACTATATATTGTATATAAATTGTATAAGCTGTTAATTACCTAAAATAAATAAATAAAATTAAACAAGCATATTGCTAAACTAGGCCTATGCACGACAAGTATCTGCAGATTCTGCCAAACTGAAGAAGAAACGCCGCTTCACATCCTATGTGCTTGTAGCCCTCTCATGCATAAACGAAATTTCTCCTTTGGAATGTTTACACTCTTTCCCGAGGAGATAAAAACCATCGCTCCTAAGAATATCCTTCAATTCTTGTCCCTGACGGGTCTAGGTAGCGAACTTTGAACAGGGCGAGCACAATAGATCTATGTAGGTCGCAGTGCTACAGGTGCTACACATCTGACAATAGCCCAAAACAAAACAATAAAAAAAAATATTAACAACTTTGACGTTACGACTCTATAATTCTTTTCTTGCAGCATATATTTGTCCACTGCTGGACGTATGCCTCTTGCATAATTTTCCACTTCAGTCTGTCTGTGGCATGTCTTGTCCAGGTCGGTCCTGCCGTCTTCCTGATATCATCAGACCATCTGGCAGGTGGTCTGCCTACGCTTCTGCTTCCCATCCTAGGTCGCCACATTAAGGATCTGTATGTCCATCTGTTGTCTTTGCTTCGGTATACATGACCAGCACAACGCCACTTTAGCTGCGCGATTCTTTGGATGATGTCGGTAACTCCCGTGCGCCTTCTGATCTCAGTATTCCGCAGTCTCTCTGGGAGGAGTCTCTCTTCCTTCTGTCTCGTAGGGAGATGCCGAGCATAGATCGCTCCATTGCTATTTGGTTGACTTGTAGCTTGTTGACCCTTTCGGTGGTTAGAGTCCACGATTCGCAAGCGTATGTTATCACTGGGAGAACGCATTGGTTATATAGTTTTGTTTTTACTATTTTATTATTCTTAAGAAATAGAAATAACCTTTATTGAAATAAACTCATTACGAGCACTTTTGAATAGTCATATTCTGATTCTACCATTCATTCGGTATTGTATTTTATTATATTTGTACAGGTAAGAAAAAACAAGATTTGGTATACGGAGAAAATATAATAATAATAATAATAATAATCTCAGGACAATTCACACAGAGCCATCTATACCCAAGTTAAGCTATCTAGAGCTTGTGTTATGGGTACTAGATAACTGATACATATACATAGATATTTTTTTTTTTTTAAATACATACATATTATATATAGAAAACACCCAGACCGATACAAACAATCATACTCATGAATACAAATGCCGTGCGAGGAATCGAACCCGCGACCATCGGCCGTAAAGCGGTGTGCTTGACCGCTAGACCACCGAGGTCGTCAAATATATATTCTGATAGCTACTGACATAGCAGAATGAAGTGAAGTAACAAACAATAATGTACAATAAAAGGAACTGTAAATTTAAATAGAAATTTAGAATATAAAACACATTTCTTCGTTAGCCAGATACAACACGAAACGCAGATTCATCACAAGCAGACGAGTAAGAAACTTGTGTGTTGCTCTTTTGAATAGAAGTTGTTTTTTTACATAAATAATTACAGAATAGTCAGTAAAAGGCATGCGATAATCAACCTAGAAACCGCTACGCACTCATTATTAATGTAATCAGATAATATTGTCAGTGCTATGGATTTAAAGTTTTTCTATAAAAACATTATTATCGTTAACGAATTCTTCAATTTTATAGCAAGCTTTTTTGCAAAGGAACTGTTTTACTTGACATTTTAATCTTTTTTCTGGCAGATTTATACTTTACTTCCTAAATAGTAGTTAATGAATGAATAAATGAATAAAAAACTCTTTACTGTTCCTCTCACAGAAAGAAAATAACAATTACATTAATTAATTCGTACACCAAATATAAAAAAATATTACAACATAGATGTAACAATGGGCGGCCTTATTGCTAAATGTAATATCGTACTGCTACGACCACGGCAATGTACCTGTCCCGCTCACACTACGCCACCAGGGAGCAGGACATTGTCTACTATATACGGACCAGAAGTAATCTGACATTGAGGGTGACGCAGCTGGAATCGAGTCATAACGCGAGTTCGTGGCCCGAGTTCCCCCACCAACATGCTGTCCATCTTCATGAAGGAGGACTACTGGCCGGGTATAGTGTATCGACGCTACGGTGGCAAATTACCATCATCAGTGCCGTGACCACACAGACAATTTATATTTCATTTTCTATTAATTATATTATTCACATATATGTTTATCTGTAATAAATAAAAAAATAATAGGGATTTCTTCCAGCCAGAATATTTAACATTTTTCATTCTATAATCATCCATTTCAAAATAATAAAACAACTTTTAGGTTTATCACATTTAGTCAGACTAGATAATAATATGTTAACTTCAAATTACCGAATGACTTGACTTTGACTGATAAGTCCGAATTACTGGATAGGATAAAATATCATCCAACGAGAAAGAAAATATTCATGGAACAAATTGTTTTGTTTAATATTTTCTAACTCGTATCCTATATCACGGTGGAAATGCTAAAGGAAATCTAGTAAAAAGTTCACCTTGAGAATTTTATTACTCGCCGACACGTTTTATTATCTTTGAAGAAGATGGAGATGAAGTCTTAAATTTTGTTTGTCAAACGTAATTCGTACAGATTATAAACCGCGAGAATCGAGGCATAGATAATTCCCTGATGATGAATTCCCTGATGGTGAATTCTTTGATGATGAATTCCCTGATATAGATAGTTCAAATTCAAAATATCTTTATTCATCTATTACAGACTCTTATGATATGTCAAATCTACCGTCAGTTCGGAATGATTACAAGGTGAGAAGAACTAACAAGAAACTGAGCTCGTAATCTTTTCATATAAATGTTGCACATGTTTACAATAATACAGATCTAGTAACAAATAGGGGCAGGTACCAAGTAAACCAATAATATAAGAAAGGAACATTATTCTAAATTAACCCAGCGTAGACAATGTATTATATTACATACGGGATTTTCATTTAATATTAGACATAGACAATGTAAGTACACAATGCATTCTTCAAATAGAAAACTTGCTTTTAAAACATCAGTTTAGTTTCTTGCCAGTTCTCCTTAATTCAATCTCTATAATGAATTGGACGATAAGGAAAAATATTAATACAATAATAAAGTTTATTTTATTAGTTAGTTGTTATTAAGTTAGTTTTAACGTCATAGGCAGGTAAAATGTCCTACATGAAAAACAATTTTTTTATTTGATTCGTTAAAATATATAAACCTCGCTAAGTTATGCTCGTGCGAAGCCGGGGCGGGAAAATAGTGCTGAATAAACGAGAATGAAAACAGGTAATTTAGTCCACAGTTGTGAATTCACTGAATAGAATAGAATAGAATAGAATAGAATAGAAAATCATTTATTCAAATAAACTTACATTGAAGCACTTTTGAATAGTCATAACATTTTTTTTTTATCTACCGCTCATTCGGAATGCTGTCTCATCACAAGAAGAACAAGCAAGAAACTTGTGTGTTGCTCTTTTAAATAATTTATTCTTACATACAATTTAAGTTTAAGTGTGTGAATACAAACCACCGATTAGCACTAATTCAATTAAATACTCAAAAAGAAAAAAAAAATAAGAACTGAGAATGAACCCATACGAATATAAACTGAGTATTAACCGCTGTATAAGTTGGAACCCAATGCAGTGATAACCGATTTTCATTTTAATTGGCTATTTCCTTCGATGAAATTCAACATCGATCTAATGTTCAACTTCTGACTTCTGCCAATGTTAGTCGAGAACCACAACAAATTACTTTTAATCCACTTCATCATTACATATTACAAAACAAAGTCGCTGTCGCTGTCTGTCCCTATGTATGCTTCAATCTTTAAAACTACGCAATGGATTTTGATGCAGTTTTTTTAATGTATTAGATAGAGTGATTCAAGAGGAAGGTTTGTATATATAATACATGTACACGCGTGCGAAGTCAGGACGAGTAGCTACTTACTGAATATCAGCTTACTACAGATATTTACCAATAACAACCAAAATGGTAAAAATGGTAAGTAGTAAAGCGGTGTGCTAGACCGCTAGACCACCGAGGTCGTCAAACATGACGTCGTCGAATATGACTATATAATATAACTTCGAAATGCAACTCTTTATTTTGTGCAATTCCATACCTTTATATTGCCTCTAGCCCATAATTTCATTGGCGTATGTCACCCCTCAGTTAGCAACACAGTTTGCATGCCAAACAGGTCGCCAGCAGAGACAAAGGGCGACAGGAAGCGCAACCGACTTACAAAAGCTCCCTCTGTGATGTTCATATATATAAGCGGCAGTTGCTACATCGATTTGATAGGACATCAATATTTTGCGCATCGACTTGTGTAAAAATGTATTAAACTTGATAAATATAAATGAATTTGCGTTACAATCTGGCAAAATTATGTTTAACTATGATACTTCTATAACAGGGCGTGTTTAAATAAAGTTATAATTAATATTTGTAAGTATGAATTTTATTTTAAAATTTAACATTATTTTTCTAAAGTAAATGTAGCCTAAGTTACTCCTTATTACATTAGCTACTTGCCAAGAAAAGCCCCGTCAAAATCGGTCGGGTAATTTCAGAGATTAGCCGGAACAAACAGATAGATAGACAAGAATTGTAAAAAATGTTATTCTGGTGTATATACCGTATTTATATTCATATATCGTGTAGTAAAAAACGGTTAATTCAATATTACAAACAGATACTCCAATTTTATTTATATGTATAGACTAATACTTAATTGTTATTATCATAGCTGATTATAACAGTATCAATTCTATTTCTAAATGGAATTCTAATGAAGATATAGACAGAAGATGTTACCACAGATAAAAAATGCACGTTGTTAGGTAACCGATCTGCAGTCACTATCCTGCAAATTGTAGTAATAATTTCCACTGTGCTTCAATTTTTCCGACATATATGGGTATCCCATAAAGTGAAACCTTAAATATTTTTAAAAATATATTCCTTCCGTGAATTAAGCCGTGCACACGCTCCAATATAGTGACGTGACGTACGATGACAAAAAACCTGTATAAAAAAAAATCGATAAAGCTATTCCTGGCTACATAAAGCGGATATGATTGAAATAGAATAGAATAGAAATCATTTATTCATTCATTCATTGAAATATTTATTATTTAATGTAAGCACTTTTGAATAGACATAACATTTTTTTTAATCTACCGCTCATTCGGAAAGCTGTCTCATCACAAGAAGAACGAGCAAGAAACTTGTGTGTTGCTCCTTTAAATAATACTTGTAAGTTCATATTTTACTAGTCGAAACGTGTGAATACAAACTACCAACCAGCACTAATTTATTTGGGTCAAATACAAAAACACAATAAGATTAAATCAGTCGTAGTAATAAGAGCAGATCAGTCCCTAAAAGCAGCACTCGTTCATGACGGATGAGTCAGCCATCGCGCTCGACCATATTTTAGGGAGCCCAATGACCGGCCCACCACGCCGCCACACGTCTGGACATTTTAGTGAGCATGACTACTCATTCCGCTCGTTATTCATAGATTAATACTGTTACAGATAGTCCAGCATGACCATAATATGTAATTGAGAACAAAATATATTTAACGTTTCATTTATAAATCAATATAGGTTTTTTTGCTTTTGTAACCACTTTAGGCAACATTTCGGACAGAACATGAATTCTTATAGCTCATTATGCAAATTCGACGCCGACGGCAAATGAAATTTTTTTCTGTACGTGTTATTTTTGTATTTATTTCCTTGCAAGATAAATATCGTTGTATAAGGGTGTGATGAACACTTTTTTAC